AATAATAAAGTGTCAACCCTATTTGAGCTTTTGTAGGATTGCCAGGCATTTCTATTGTAGTGTGAAGCATGGCTAACTCTTAAGGCACGGGCAAGAGAAGGCAGGTCTTCCCACGTGCAGTCTCTGGCAAGATGCCAGAACACAGTGGAACCCCATTTTGGAGATGTTTGAGATGATTTTGGAGTATAGTCTGGCATCAGGCCAATCTATTGGTATTTTGTCTCTACTGGATAGTGGTAGGCGAGCTAATGGCAGCCTTAAAACCTTTTAGGGATGCCATTGAAAACTTGATCCAGAACACTGCTAGTCTGGGACAGGTAATGCTCACATTCACCCATATAGAGGAAAAGATGGATGCATTTCTTGAGAACTAGGAGACTATTCGTGGTGGTTCTATACATCATGATATAGCAAGATAAGGAGGCTCAGAAATTTGCCTGTGCAAACACGTAGACAATGCTTTCTTGTCTGTGTAATCCTAGGATTAAGGGCAAAATGTCCCTCAGATCCAACAGTCTACAAAGTTGGAGGGATACATTTATACAAATTGTGCATGACTTGTAGCAAAATAAGCTAATGCTGACTGGGTGAGACGTGCAGCAGGGCTAAGATGTCTGCAACTCTCTGTAGCAGCAGCAGTACCACAACCAGTGGCGTACACATGACCCATGGGGCCCCGGTGCGAAAATTGATCCCTGGGCCCCCCCCTGCGCTTACTCGGCGCAGGTCAGGGCCGCAACCCTTGGCGGCGGGCACCTGGTCGCAGGGGTTGCAGGGTTGTACCGCGGTATGCACACACACTTAAAGGACCACTACAGACACCCAGATCACATCAGCTCAATGAAGTGGTCTGGGTGCCAGGTCCCTCTAGTTTTAACTCTGCAGCTGAAAACATAGCCATTTCATAGAAACGGCTATGTTTCACTGAGGGTTAATCCAGCCTCTGGTGGCTGTCTCATTGACAGCCGCTAGAGGAGCTTCCGCGATTCTCACTGTGAAAATCACAGTGAGAAGACACTGAACGTCCATAGGAAAGCATTGAGTAATGCTTTCCTATGGGCGGTTTAAATGCGCGAGCCTCTTGCCGTGCATGTGCATTCGGAGTTGAGAGGCGGAGGGATCCCCAGCGCCAAGGGAGTCCGGCGCTGGAGAAAGGTAAATGCTGAAGACACACACACACACTCTCACGAACAGACGCATACACACTAGCTAACAGACACACACATTTACTGACAGAGAAACACTCAGCGACAGACATACATACATACTCACTTACAAAAAATACACTTTCACTGACAAACACACACTCATTAACAGACGTCAAAAACACTCAGTAACAGACACACACAGTAACACACTCACTGACACTCACTATCAGACACACACCCAATAACAGACACACTCACTGACACTCACTATCAGACACACACCCAATAACAGACACACTCACTGACACTCACTAGCAGACAAACACACTAACACACGCACTAACACACTAACACACACACACTAACACACACACTAACACAAACACACTTACACTAACACACACACTAACACACACACATTTTTTAAAAAATGGATTCCCTGGGGTCCAGTGGTGCTGCTGGGCTCCTGCGCGGCCTGTCCTGTGGGCGGGCGCGCGAGGGAGCACTCTCCCCTGAGTGCTTCCTCTTCAGCTCCCTCGCGCGCCGCGTAGGGATGCCGGCGCCGGAAGATGAAGTCATCTTCCGGCTCCGGTATCAGTGCAGTGCGCGAGGGAGCTGCAGAGGAAGCACTCAGAGCAGAGTGCTCTCTCGTGCACCCGCCCGCCTGCAGGATATCTGCAGGGTCAGCCTCGGAGGGCCCTGAGGTGGCCGGCTCCTGGGCCCCCCTCGAGAAGAGGCTGGCCCAGTGGGTACATACCGGGTCGCTGGTATGTACGCCACTGACCACAACACCATATAAGAATGGATCATTTGTGTATTTATAGAAGTGCTTGGGTCTATAGCTGTTCTTACTGAAACAATAAGTACCAGAAAGGAGAGTAGTGCCTCCAAAAAGAGTTTACCTCTTAGAATCTCTTTTGTCCCATATAGTTGATGCTTTACTGGGATTACAATGACCTGCTCTCTCACTGGTTGCCCAGGAGTTCTTATCTTGTCCATTTCAACTTCAAACTAAAGCAGATTACCTCTCTGAAGTTCAAACTTCCTAAATTTGGGTACTTTGTAGTCCGCTTCACACACAAATAACTAAAATTGTGCAAATTATTTGTCCTGAAACTAAAACAGGTAAGTGGGTCATCAATGACCCACTCACCCTTTTCAATTTAATTTCCATTTAACCTCACATTTTTTTTTATTATTGTTTTAATTTTGTTTTTCTGTTAATTCCAAATTCTCCTTAACATTGGATATTGTTTTTTTTTTTTTACTCTGACTTCTCCTGACTGGTAGCATCTCTAGATGTCAATGAGTGTGTGATACTGTGAGAAGAATGAATGAATAAAACCAAAACTATTTCTAAAATTATGATAAAGGCATTTGTTTAGCACCCGATAAATTTGCTAAGGCCTTTGCAAGGAATTAGCACAAAACAACTGTGCAATGAAAGCTCAGCTGTTGACAGATTATATAAGGTGCAAAACATAAGGCACTCCTATGCAGACATGCCACCATAACATTGTATTGGTGTATGGGGCTGTCAATCTTCAGGAGTTGTCATGGAAATTAAGCAGTCTTTATTAGATTACAGCCACGCCAAGAGGGCTGCCTTGCAGCATGAAATGATTGTGAACATTTCTCAAGCATCTATTGTTTTTTAGAAGACGTTATGTTATTGGAGTTTGAATGTTGCGGCATGCCGCTAGTATTCTCACATGCGCGCCTTTGGGCTGACGCGAATTGGAAGCGCCACTGGAACACCGATGGAAAAGCGATAAGTCTTTAAACCGGTCAATCCTCCTCCAGCCATATCACAACTGTGAGATTTCTAGATCCAAGGGATTCCTTTACTGACACTGTCACTGGATGCAGAGAAGGCCTTTGACAGGGTCAGCTGGGATTTCCTGGAAAATACCTTGAAATGTTTTGGCTTTGATGGAAGGATTTTTAATGCTATCTTGGCTTTATACCTGAACTTGTCAGGAAGAATAGTTAGTTATGGATTAGCTTCAAATTGGTTTGATTAATCAAATGGGACTAGGCAAGGCTTTCCACTGTCACCTCTTTAACACATTTAAACAATTGAACTCCTAGAAATAGTTCTTAAAAATATTGCTAAAATAAGTGGTTTTCGAAACAGTGAAGGGATTAAAATAAAACTTTATGTGCACAACATCTTTCTTTTTATAATCCTACACAATAAACTAATGAATTAATGTGGGTAATAGATAATAATAGTAAATTGTCAAATTAAAAGGTCTCTAAAGGCATTAAATCTGTGGCAGACCCTATAAGCAAAGAAAAAAGAAGAAAAAAAACACAGAACATACACCCGTTATGATTGTGGCTTCTCCCTTTTGAGTCTGCTTAATATCATATGTAGTTCACTACTCATTTGTATGTATATACTGTAATCTAATATCATATGTAGTTCATTGGTTACTATTAGGTATGTACTGGAATATGGTATCTATAAGACTCCTTGCATGTATTCTTTAATTTATTACTTGGTTACCAATTTTGAGAAGATTTTGAGTATCTCAGTTATATTCATATAAACAGATATTGATTTGGATTTCATCTAATTACTAAGGATATCCATAGTGAATCCACTATATATACCTTTATTTCATTGTATATATTCATTTGTTATCCAATAGATGTGATTATGTACTTTTTTTCTGCCTCTAGATTGGTAATATATTGAATTATTTTCTAACAAGAAATCCATTATGGTTTAGCCCCAATAAAAAATTTGAAATGGGCTCTCCATATGGACTAACAAACTTTGATTACCAGGATATACAATAATAAAACCAATGGCACAATGATATTTCGAACAGAGAAAAGTGGGCGGAGCCTAATAGATTCATTACTATTCGTCTCGCCCTATTCTAATGATGTCACTGGACTAGCTCCGTTAAATGGCTGTACCTGGCGCGGGAAATGCCGGCCACGCTTCCTACATAGACAGTACAGCCATTGGATGATGGACGTACGAAATAAGATATTAAAAGAACTACCTAAGCAGTAACTCTTTTCCCTCTGATGAAGGTGCTTTTGTACAGCACCGAAACGCGCGTCAGGGTTTTTTTTCTTGTCTCTTATGGACACTATACTCTAATTCACGACATGGCACTATATTAACTTCACAGTTTTGTTTTCACGTTAAGTAGATAGTCAGTTATACTATTTTTCTCTACCACTATAGAGACCCAGTAGCTATATTGGGTTAGGCAGACACTTTTTCGTAATCAGATACAATGTTGCTATGCAGACTGCTAGACTAATAGACAGCTCTGGTTACTTAATATCTGTCTCTCCTATTGCCTCTTTGAGGATTTTCTAGCTACTAACTCTATTCATAGATATGCCGTGGGCATTCCAAGCTTCACGATATCTATGTTTCACACCTTTACTACTATTTATTTATTTATTTATTTATAACCTCTATTTATTTATTTATTTTTCACTCTTAGTAGCTGTCTACTGTATTGCTTTCATAGAATATGATATACGATTACCATCCAGGATTTATACTTTTTTTCTATCTACTTTTTAATTTTGTTATATAGGGATATTTAGACCTTTCATAATATATGTATTGATAGATTTCTTCTAGACTACTTCATCATCTCCAGGTATACACAGTCCATTGCATCTGTTTTCTAACGGGTGTATGTTCTGTGTTTTTTCTTCTTTTTTCTTTTCTAAGTAGTTGGGGTTAAGTCCAGGGGTTAAGTCCCTGGAGTCTCCTCTTGGGTACAGGGAAAGTGTGTCTCTACTGGGAACGCCAATTTTGATAGGTGTTATACTGTGGAGATTTGCTTTTCCTTCCATATACTTTAGACCTTATAAGCAACAACAAAGTCATACATTTTCTTGATTTAAAATCAAAATGTAGGATTCCCAACAGCGAATTGGTCAATTATCTTAAAATTAGTGCATCTCTCTTGAAAAATGTATTATGCATACTTGAATAACATTAACTCCAGAGAACCTCTTGACTCTAGAGAACCTCGGGCAAATCGCACATTTCCGTGACGGCGACTTTGCATTCGGATGTCATCCATACCTACCATGGTGACCACGGGTAACGGGAATCAGGGTTCCATTCCGTACAGGGAACCTGAGAAATGGCTACCACATGCAAGGAAGGCAGCAGGCGCTCAAATGACCCACTCCCGACACGGGAAGGTAGTGATGGCAAATAATAATACAGGACTCTTTAGAGGCCCTGTAATTGTAATAAGTCCACTTGAAATCCTTTAACTCTGATCAATTGGAGGGAAGTCTGGTGCAGAGCCACTGACCCATGCGTGCTGCAGCTGAAACTCCACTATCGCCTGCTGCTGCTCGCACAGTCTCATGAGACGGTGAACGGGAAGGCCGAAGTTACACTGCAGCGCTGACAGGCAAGCAGCAGGGTGAGAATGACAAAAGTGCGCACAGCTGCCACAGTGAATGTCACATCCTGTTCAAAGTTGCGGATCAGTCTGGTGATGGCTTCTGTTATCCAGTACTCTTTTTACTGAAGCTGCATCAGGGTCCTGGTATGTTGCCGTCAAACGCTGGTGCTCAACACCAGGGGGCGTGCGGTTACTCTGCCAACCCATTCCACACTGTGACTCCTAACTTCAACATCAGGCATACTGGGTCCCGGTCGTCCGACCACCACCCAGACAGTGTCTTGGTCCTGGTCACTGGACTGCCCACCTGACTGTGAAACTATGAATGGATTGTTAAATCTGGTCCAAACCCGAACTTTGCAGTTCGGGTTCGCTCAACTCTATTATGGATCCTTTTATCGCTACATGTATTACTTGGATAACTGGTAATTCTCGAGCTAATACATGCCGACAAGCGCTAGGGGAAGGCCGCTCCGCTTTTGCACCCTGCTAACTCTTATGCTGTGCTGGTACCTCTGTGCGACCAGCGCCTCTTCCTACAAACTGCACACATCACTCGCAGGTCCTCATCATCCTCCACATCATCTTCCACCCACTCCTCAACCCTGCCCTCCTTGCCGGTATGCACACTGCAGAAAGCCACAGCATCTGTGTAACAAGTATTTTAGGTATGAAACAATATTACAAGTGACCGATGTAGTAAATTAAAATCAAAGTTACACTTCGATTTGACTCTCAGAGATGAAGTGAACACCCCAAATATACTATTTAGCACCAAAAAAATTAAATTCCAATGTAAGCAGCATATTAGCAGCAAAACAATTAGAATGTTTACAACTGCGCAGTAAGCACACTATTTGTTGTTTCTATTTGACTCTCAGATATGAAGAGCAGGCCACAAAATGTACTATTTAACAGATTAGCAGCAAAACAATTAGAATGTTTACAACTGCGCAGTAAGCACACTATTAGATGCTTCTATTTGACTCTCAGATATGAAGTGCACCCCACTAATGTACTTTTTAGCACCCAAAAATTTGTAAGTTTTAAAACTGCAATGTGACAGCAGTATTTGATGATTCTATTTGACGCTCAGATATGAAGTGCACCCCACTAATGTACTAGTTTGCAGAATTCTTTCCTAAGCTGTCCCTCACAGCGGCAGCATCCTCTCCCTACACAACTAAGACCTCATGTTCGTGCAGCGCTATGCGACTCCAGCTTATATATAGAGGCTGGGTCACATGCTGGACTGGCCAATCACAGCCATGCCATTAGTACGCATGGCTGTGATGGCTTCGAAGGGTACACGAGTTAAACGCTTGTTGATTGGCTGCCCTGCAGCCTTTGAAATTGCGCCATTAAATCGCCGAACACCGAACTCCAACCCGTACATACAGTGATATGTCCGTGTTCGGGTCCGGGGTCCAAAAAACTTAATGTTCGGTACGAACCCGAACTTTATAGTTCGGGTTCACTCAACTCTACTCTACCCCAATCAGCTGCCTCATCATAGAGCGGCATTGAAACAAACACCACTCTATGATTTAGAATTGAGTGTTTCACTGTGCATGTGCGTGGCATGCGCGTTCAAAAGCTGAGCTCATCCTCAGCCCAGATCCTTGAATGCAGAAAATAATGTACTTACACAATAGAGTGAGGGAAAAAATGTATTTAATCCCCCTGCTGATTTTGAACATTTGCCCACTGACAAAGAAATGATCAGTCTTTAATTTTACTGGTATGTGTATTATAACAGTGAGAGACATAATAAAAAAAAAAAAAAAATCCAGAAAAACTCATGTCAAAAAAGTTATAAATTGATTTACATGTCAATGAGTGAAAAAAATATTTGACCTCTTCAGCTTAGTACTTTGTGGCAAAACCCTTGTTGGCAAACCGAGAGGTCAGATGTTTCTTATAGTTGGCCACCAGGTTTGCACACATCGCAGGAGGGATTTTGTCCCACTCCTCTTTGCAGATCATCCCCATGTCATTAACGTTTTGAGGATGACTTTTGGCAACTCTAACCTTCAGCTCTTTCCACATAATGTTTCTACCTCCATGTTTGACGGTGGGGATGGTGTTCTTGGGGTCATAGGCAGCATTCCTCCTCCTCTAAACACAGCGAGTTGAGTTGATGCCAAAGAGCATGATTTTGGTCTCATATGACCACAACACTTTTACTCAGTTCTCCTCTGAATAATTCAGATGTTCATTGACAAACTTCAGATGGGCCTGTACATGTGCTTTCTTGAGCAGGGGACCTTACAGGTGTTGCAGGATTTCAGTACTTCACGGCGTAGTGTGTTACCAATTGTTTTCTTGGTGATTATGGTCCCAGCTGCCTTGAGATCATTAACAATATCCTCCCATGTAGTTCTGGGCTGATTCGTCACTGTTCTCATGATCATTGAAACTCCACAAGGTGGCCATCTTGCATGGAGCACCAGACCGAAGGAGAATGAGAGTTATTTTGTGTTTCTTCCTGTCACGGGTTCGTGAGTCTATTGCTGTTATTCCTTCATTCCTCCACTAGTCCTAATTTCAGATGTGCTGAATATAGTAAAAATATTCCCTTTGTTTAAAGTGTTTCCAATATAATGGACACAACCAGTCGTATTAGGTAAAAGCAGCAATCTCAACTGTCTTAGGCCACACTCGGCTTTTTTTGCAGTGCCCCTAGCATGGGGTTTCCAATACAAAATCACAGGGGTTTCCTTCCCACAAACCATTGTGCTTGAGAGATAATTGGGCTCCAACAATTGAGGAAAACTTACATACAATTTTTACATATCTTAAAAATACATGACATCAGCATCAGAACCCCAGAAAATAGCTTCGATCTGAGTGCACAACATATCCAAAAAGTGCTCAGATCGGTTCAGTAAAACGAAAGTTATGTTCATGCATATATGAACTGGTTGCCTGGTTGAGGTGGTATTGTCAATTTTAAAAGGGGTTAATTTGATTGTATGGGAGGTCAGAGCTTACAATCTAAATTCCTCTTTGAATATGGGACCCCAGCAGAGCTACTCTGTAAGGTGTGAGAAGTCACACATAAGTGGCCTGGAAGTCTGGTTACAGTATAAACTAACTCTCTCATTTGCCATAAGTCTTGATTCCCTGTAACAGTCACCAGGGGACTTATGTAACAGTTTACCAGGAGTTGGAGCCAAGTTGCAGGAGATGGTACATGGAGGAGGCAAAATCCAAAAACACAGTACAGATAAAGGGGTAATCCAAAGGCAGGGTTAGACAAGAAGCAGAAGTCAGGGCTGGCAGCAGAGTAACGTAGTCGGTAAAGCAGGCAGAGGGCAGAGTCCAGAGTCCAGGAAATCAGTCAGTAGCGAAGCAGCGATCCGGCAGGAAACACCAAACAGGCAAAATGACCAGATCATAGGTTTCAGGCAGGCCCGCTTTTACCGCCTGCTAACTAGATACAGATGACCCTAATTGGAAAAGAGCTGCAGGTGGATCAGTACTGTTCATTCCAGGCAAGGGGTCAGGAAGCAGAAAAAAAGGCAAACAGAAACTGAAGCCACCTGGTGGACAGCACGGCAGAGAACTTGACTGGGATGATGGAGCTGAGAGTTCAAACCCAGCAAGGTTTCTTAAAGGGGCAGCCACGCCTTGCTGTTAGCCCTCCACAAGGAATGACCTCTGGGGGCAAACAGACATGGCTTCAACTAGTCCAATTCAGGTTCAGACAGAAAATCCAGGTCTGTATATGCATAAGAATCTGAGAGTGTTGGAATATTTAGCAGGTTTTTCTTCTTCGTTGAGGCAAGAAGGGGATGCAGCTCTGGCCTTAAGAGCCTGTTCAAAGACTCTTCTCTGTGGACCACAGTTCCATAGGAGGCAATTACACGGCCTGGAGACAGATCGTCTCTGTTGGAGCAGGAAACGTTAGGAGAGACAGAGGCTGGGGTTTGGAAGGTAGTCACTGCAGCCTCCTTTTGGGGCACTGGAACAGTTGCAGGGTTAGCCAGGGCTTTGATGGTTCCATTGGTCTGGTTAGGTGGTCTTTTCGGTCCAGTAGCATGCAGAGTTGAACAAAAAAGGGGCCATGATGGACTAGTAGGACACAAAGCCCCCACATGGCTATGTTTAGGGCGAGGAGCCTTTGGCTCTCCTTCTGGCTTTTTCAGTTACTGTGAGCATGGTATTTAGTGCTCCAATCTGCATGTATTCCTTTATGTCCATGGTGGGGATAGGGTATAGGTCTCAACAGCAGGTTGGGAGCATTGATCGGGCAGAGTGTTAGTTTCAAATCACTCCTGTCTTCTTTCTCTGAACTGGAGATCCAGCTGGGTGGCTAGCACCATGAATTCTTCCAGGGAGGTTGGAACTCCCACTCGTGCCAATTCATACTTAAGGGTTTCACTTAATCCAAGGCAGAATTGGTCCACTAGGGCGGTTTCATTAAGTCCAGTGTCTGATGACAAGCCACAGAACTCTATGATGCAATTTTCCACAGGACGCTTTCCTTGTTTAAGGGAATGGAGAGAAGTCCTGGCTGTGGAGGCATGGAAGGGGTCCTCATACAAGGAGGTCAAGGCTGTAGAAAAGGATTCCCAGGTGTCCAGTACAGAGCTTTTGGCATACAGCTGTTGATGAGCCCAGGTCTTGGATTGCCCAGATAACAGGGTGATGACAGTTCTTACTTTAACAAAATCTGTGGCATAGGTACGGGGTTTAAGTACAAACAGGATTTCACAGTTTGTGAAATGCAATGCAATATCAGGTTGAGGAGCATGGTGTGTGTTCCTCTTTAAATCAGCATAGCCACGCTGCAATTCACTTACGGTTTGAGACAGGAGGATCACTTGCTGTGTGAGGGTACTCAGGACATTCATCATCTCCGTAGGATCCATGGTAGTGGATCTGGTCATTATGTAACAATCACCAGGGGACGTATGTAACAGTTTA